GCAGAAGTGTGTATGTGACTCATGACTCGCACGGGAGAGGGGAAGGAACTGCACTGTAGTGGCAGTGGTAGAAGTATGTGTGTGATTCAATGACTCACAAACGGGAAGTAAACGGTTAAAGTGAGGGATAGAAAATATATATAGTAGGCCTATATATATATAATATATAGGTTAGTGTGTGTGTGTGTGTGCGCGTGCAATGGTTGCGTGCGTGCGTGCGTGCATGGCTTCGTGCGTGCGTGCGTGAGTGCGCGCGCGCGCGGCGTGTGTGGTGTGTGTGTGTGTGTGTGCTTGTATGTGTGTGTGTGTGTGTGCGTGTGCGTGCGTGCGTGCGTGCGTGCGTGCGTGCGTGTGTGTGTGTGTGTGTGTGTGTGTGTGTGTGTGTGTGTGTGTGTGTGTGTTGTGTGTGTGTGTGTGCATCATGACTATCGTAAGGAAGAGACATTTGGTGGTTATTGAGAAAGACTTCCCACTTGCCGACATATCACAGAAATTAATCTGCTACGGTCACGTTTAAGTACAGAAACTCGCGTACAGTAGGCCTACAGTATGGCGGTGGTGAATGATCGTAAAATCATATGGAGTGACAGTCGACCGTCTGGCCACCGCGTTTACAGACTCATGCGATGTGCCAAAGCCGATGAATTTGCTGACAACCCGCTGTAAATACGAGTACATCTCAGTAACGAGGATGAGGAGACTACGGCATCGGCTGGGCCCGCCGCTCAACTACTCAAGTAAGCTCGACGCCGACGGCTCATCTCAAAATGGCGGCGTCTTTACGAAATGAGAATCCATGTGTTTGAAGCGCGTTTACTGAGCACTCGGCAATGAAGCGTAGTAATCGAGAGGGAATTTGAGATAGTGTAATGAATTTAGTAATACATTTGAGAGGAAATAGATAGAATAGTGCCATGTATAGCATGTAATGCGGGACGCCAGCGCCTCACATTATGCACAACGATGATCGTGCTGCTGAGTTCTGCTCGCAAACTGTCAGCTGCATCCATCAATGTTGCGCGTACTCACGCGGTGATCACAATGTCGCTAATGATTTTGTCATCGAGGTGTTCTTGTGTTGATGCCTTTCAGATGAGTCAGGTCTATAATCGATTTTTATTATGAGTATTTCTATTTTAGATAAATAATCACGTGGTATGGTATTTTAGTTGCGCTCTATTGAACTCAGATTTCAGATTTTATCTCATTGAATTTTATAATGATATGACATTGACATGACTAGTACATTACTTACATTACATTACATTACAGTAAATTACATACATTACAGTAAATACATTACATTACAGTAAATACATTACATTACGTAAATTACATTACATTACAGTAATTACATTACATTCATTACATTACATTCATTATATCATTATTATGGAGACAAAACATTCTAGGCGACTAACGACGATATATACGCCCTCCCCATTGCCACACCCATACATATCTGCACACACCATATTTATGTATAGGGGCCTATATGATATCAGGGGTTAATAATTAATTCATTATCATTATTAACCCCTGATGATAAATCTATTTCTGTTCTGATCTGACCTGATATATCTATATCTGATATAATATCTATCACTACACCACCTCTACCTATACCTTTTGATGCAGGAGTGCCAGCGCCCAAGCGCACTCTGACTACACGTACAACACGGCGCTCGACCTGTTCGGCGCGCCGTTCTGGGTGAGATGTACTGGTACCTGGGGGCGGCTACGTCGCCCTGCTCGGATATTCTCGCGCAGACATCGTCGACAAGCTCGCCGAGCTGAGCGCCAACAACTGGATCGACCAGCTCACCGCGCGCCGTCTTCCTCGAATTCAACCTCTACTACCCGGCTTTCTAATACTGTTTGTTCGTCGCCGAGGCGCTGTTTGAGTTCCCGGCGCAGGGAGGTAAGCGCACACCGCCCCTAGTGGAACGCGTCGCGACGGGTGGGTGGAGGAGCGGTTAAGAGGGGTGGGGGGGAGGGGTCATTGTGGGGCTGTGGTGACGGAATAATTATAATGAGCGGTCGCGATGATGAAATAATTAAGTGCCAGGCGAGTGAGAGAAAGACAGGCAGACAGACAGACAGAGAGGGTGGAGGTATCTTTTGAGTTCGCCGCCGATGGGTTCAGTGTGTGTGACGGTGTCTGTTCCGCGTTCTAGGTGTTATTCAGTGTGTGTGACGTGTACTGTTTCGCGTTCTAAGGTGTCATTCAGTGTGTGTGACGTGTCTGTTGCGTTCTAGGTGTCATCAAGTGTGTGTGACGGTGTCTGTTTGCGTTAAGGTCATTCAGTGATGTGACGGTGTCTGTTTGTGTTCTAGGTTCATCAGTGTGTGTGACGGTGTCTGTTTGCGTTCTAGGTGTCATCAGTGTGTGTGACGGTGTCTGTTTGCGTTCTAAGTGTCATTCAGTGCATGTGACGGTGTCTGTTTGCGTTCTAGGTGTCATCAGTGTGTATGACGTGTGCTGTTTGCGTTCTAGGTGTCATTCAGTGTGTGTGACGGACCGACGGTGTCTGTTTGTGTTCTAGGGTCATCAGTGTGTAGACGGTGTCAGTTTGTGTTCTAGGTGTTATCAGTGTGTATGACGGTGTCTGTTTGTGTTCTAGGTGTCATCAGTGTGTATGACGGTGTCTGTGTTGTGTTCTATGTGTCATCAGTGTGTATGACGGTGTCTGTTTGTGTTCTAGGTGTCATCAGTGTGTATGACGGTGTCTGTTTGTGTTCTAGGTGTCATCAGTGTGTATGACGGTGTCTGTTGTTGTTCTAGGTGTCATCAGTGTGTATGACGGTTGTCTGTTTGTGTTTAAGTGTCATTCAGTGTTGTGACGGACCGACGGTGTCTGTTTGCGTTCTAGGTGTCATTCAGTGTGCATGACGGTGTCTGTTTGCGTGCTATGTGTCATCAGTGGTGTGGACGGCAATCGGTTTGCGTTCTAGGTGTGATCAGTGTGTGTGTGTGTGTGTGTGTGTGTGTGTGTGTGTGTGTGTGTGTGTGTGTGTGTGTGTGTGTGTGTGTGTGACAGTGTCTGCTTTGCGTTCTAGGTGTCCTTCAGATGCCACATGTCGACGTGCTCCGCGTCGACCCGTACGTCGGCCGATGGCTACGTCAATCATCATCGCCGAGGTCACCACGGTCATTTTTCTTTTGTACTTCACCGTGAAAACGTTGAAGACACTCTGCAAGTTCAGGCGAGATTCTTCAGGGTACGTATCGCTGGGCACAAAATCTTTCACAGTCACGGTTTGCGGAAGCTTGCGTAGACTCCCTACATTTGCCAACATGTAGGCGCTCGAGGGTTGCCTGTAACTTCACGCAATCACAATGTGCGCGCACAGATTCAAGGTAAGCCGAGTTTTTAAAATAATTACTTAAACAATTATTTTGTGGATATTACTAGAATTACGACCATATTAGGTATAGCTTATGCAATAACGTCGTTATCTAATATCGTATTGATAATAACTTTATATAACTGCGCGTAAATGAGAGCATCAGTCGAATCAAGGGTCTGACCAGGTCAAAGTTCAAATCACATCTGTCGGGTTTTTTTGATCGGCTGTGTTTTGCTGCGTCGGTCGATGTAGGATGTGTGGAACATCGTAGATATCTCCGTGGTGCTGCTGGTCTTCACTTCCGTCATCATCTATGGTTACCGCGCCGTGTTTGGCAGCCTAGCGCTGAGTCAGTTCCGCGAGGATCATTATCAGTTTGTCAACTTCATGAACATGGTGTCCTATAGCTGAGGTGTGTGTCTACGACAAGCACGCACGCACGCAAACACTGACGTGATCAACGCACCAATGCAAGCACGTACAGACGCGCACGCACGCACGATCGCATGCAAGCAAGCACGTACAGACGGGACGCACGCACGATCGCATGCAAGCAAGCACGTAAACAGACGCACGCACGCGCGATCGCATGCAAGCAAGCAGTACAGACGCGACGCACGCACGACGTCATGCCAAGCAAGCACGTAACAGATGCCACGCACACGGTCCGGATACGTACGTCCGTGCGCACGCGTATATGCATACGTCCGCACACACGCTACAATCATTGGTCTCCGTCATTGTTTTTCTTCTTGCCTCCTAATTGCCATCGACTCCGCATTACTTTTACATGTTTATATAAATACTGCTCGAAGCGTATCAACAACCCCCTACCAACATAATCGTAACAACTTAGAATTTTTTATTCTTATCACATATTTGTATCGACGTGTTTTTGATTAGCAAACTATATGCGTATTAATACATTTCGATTAGTTTATTAAGCCAATTATGCATTTTAAAAAGCGCAGCAGAATTCTTTGGCTAGCCGAATATTCTACAATAAATAACATATAACTATAGGAATAACAGGAGCAGAGAGCTTGTGTCGCTACAATTTGCATACACCGTTTGTAGGACCCTCCATCCCGCCATAACACACTGTGAAACATTTACATTTCTAGTGGCCGACTGCCTTTATGATTATTACAGCGGTAGTTTAAATCTATGACCTGGCTACAAAACGGGTTACCAAGCCATGCGCAGTCTAAATGCCGGAATTGCGCTTATTGGCATCGATTCATGTGAATCAATATCCGTTGTTCCGCCGCTAATCCGTCTGCGACGCCGCGCGCGCCATCTGCTGGTTACAGATGCTACATC